TGGACTGTGTGGAAATCTATGTAAAATAAAATCAATGTAAATAGTGTTCCTCTGTTTGTTATTGCCTTAATCCTATTTTTAAAAGTAGAAATAGTCAAAGAAATAGCAACATTATGTGGAACCGTAATTATGCTTTCTAAACAAAAAATAGCAGATGTTTAGGCCCACCTCGTGTTGTTATACTCTATAAAAGAAATAACACCTGCTATTTATAGCTGAACTGCCTCAAAGGGTCGTCAAAAAATGAAAACAGTCATTGCAATAAATTATTGTTAAAAGGGAAACCCTCACATTTTCTTTTTCAGTCAGCTGTGGCTAAGAATCAGCAATCAGCAGCTGTTTTAGTGTAGATAAAAAATTTTTTTTTTCATTAGGACTATTTTCGTAGGCTAATATTAATTGAAGAAACTAGCGTGAAAAAAATTCTTATTTCGTGCTCCAAGCACGCACACACGCATGCGGACTAAAAAACAGCCAATCAGGAAGAGAGAAGGCGGAACTTGAGGCAGAACAATCAATGAGAGTGGAGCTAAACAGCACAGCTACTGAATTTGAAGGACAGGAAATACCGGGCAGCAAGACGGAGCGGCAACAGCAGCTTCTAAGCCGCAGAGCTGCGAGAGAAAAAGAATAGGCTGTGATCACACACAGTGGCTGTGTGATCCACCACACTGAATTGTAAATTATAAACATTTTATATAAACATGTTATTCAAATCGAATTATTGGTAGGGACAAATAGGTTTGTCCAAAATTTTGGGATGGCCCACTTCATTGCAAGATAGATTGCCCTCAACTCCAGAAAATCTATCTGTAAATGTCACTTAACCTAAGCCCATGGCCCCACTGTGGAAGGAGCTGCAAGAGCCAGAGCAGGAAACTTTAGGTACCCTGTAAGAACAAAAAACCCACATGCAAGATGGGTATGGTTGACTAGATTGGCCTGAGATTGTTTAAAACTCACGTGTAGTTAATACCGTCTGCAGGAGGAGTGGCTTATATTGGCTGTGCTCTGACAGAAACTGACCCTGTCAGGGCTTTTATTAGAAACCACAAGAGAGGAGGCTTGTAGATGTTGAGTTTGTATCTTTATTGTCAAAATATTATACACTGTATTTTCTATTTGTTCAACAGAAGGAAGGCTTGGATTTCACTTAAATCTGAGCAAAAACAAAGTTAAACATTGATTACATTACAAAAAGCTGAAATATAAGTAGATACAGATTTCTGTATAATTTATCTATAAATTAGTTAAACTCATCTCTGTGTTGATGCATGCCCAATACAATATATGGGGCATGCGACGGTGGCGCAGTGGTCAGCACGCATGACCCATGTATGGAGATCTTAGTCCTCGATGTGGCCTACCCAGATTCTCATCCAACCTGGGGTGTTTTGTGACATGTCTCTACTCCTCTCTTAAATCCCCTTTCCTGTCAGCCCACTGTACAAAAAACAAGCCACTAAGGCTGTAAAAAACTCAGAAAAGGAAAATAACCAGACTACGATAAACTAATCCAGAAAATATGCCCTTTAGATTGTATGACAGAATTTAAATAATGACGAATAAAAAGGAGGAATAACCTATGAAAGTGAAAATACATAAAAGAAAGTTACATTAAGTAATGCTTGATTAAAAAAACAAAATCAATAAAAGATGAGTGGTGTTCTTTGGTGTTCCTATTGCTGTGGTTTCTCCAGAAGAGAGTGATAGTATTTTATCCTGTAACAGGAGAGAAGTGTTAACAAAGTAGCTTTTATTTCAATCATCAGTTCATTGTTTTATTAAGAGGTGAGAATGATGTTGAAGCATTACCTTGTGATTTTTTTTTATAAAAACATAAACAGAAAAGTAGAGATGAGGTATTTACAGAAGACCAGGATCACTGTGGAAACCAAGTTAAGAGGGTTTCCCGGCGGGGGTGGGGCTCTGGAGGTGGTTGAGGGCCTCACTGTAAATAATTATTTAAAAAAAGAGAACTTTATTATTATGGGCTAAAACCTGAAAAACTAAGTTTTAAATAATGGAACTAGAAAAGCGCTCGGGGCCCAGACCAAATATTGCACCATATTGTGATTTAGACTTGTTCTGTTTGTAACCGTTTACATTTCACCTTCTGCTGTTGCTGATACTGCATTTGAGGTTCCATTATTGCTAAGCTATAAACACAAAAGTCAAATACTTTTGTGGCATTAAGTGATGATTTTAATCACTTCTCTCTCTCTCTCCTACACTGCCAAATTTCCAACAGTGTGTCAGCAGCTGCACCAGATAAAAATGAGAAATCAGATCACAATCTTGTTTTTCTCTGCTCAGAGTACAAGGCACTTTATATGAGACAACCTGCAGTAACTAAAACTGTAAGAAAATGCTCAAAGGAATCTGAAGAAGCCCTGGAGGGTTGTTTTGAAGGCAATGGACTGGTACTATGCAATTTTTCAGCCACATGGAGAGAACATCAATGCAATGACTGAGTGTGTAGCTGAGTAAATAAACTTCAGTGTAGATAACACCATCCCTAGCTGAACAATGAAATGATTCCCAAATGATAAACCATGAATCACAAGTGATCTGAAGCTGTGTAGAGCATCATCCTGCCTGTGACTTGTTTGTCAGAGTGCTCTTTGTAGCCCTCTAAGGCTGTGGTTGACGTGATTGTTTGTATTTTTATTGTTTGTTGTCGTAGTTTGGTCGTGAAGTGTCCAGCTGAGGATGGCTCATCCACTTATGGGTCTCATGTTTTTTAGCTGCAGATGCTACCTTTCCCCTGCGAGACTTGGTTGAGAAAGGTGGACAGCTGCTGGCTACAAGTGAGTAGCCTTACAAAATGAACGTGTGAACACTTTATATTAACATTGGTCTCTGATCTCATTCTTCAGTTTTATTGAAGTTCTCACTCAGTTTGCCTAGTGCCTGATAACATTTCCCAGATGTGTCTGAGATGCTGGTTTGAACATCCTGTTTAATCCCTCTACAGGTGGAGGAGATCCATGACCTATACACCAATTGTTTGGGGTCAGTCAAAAAAGCTCTGACTCACCAATGTATAAACTGCAGCATCCTGCTGTTGTCTGTCAGGGAGAAAAGACTACTTCAGGTGGAAAATCTTGTTTTTGCAGCTGAGCTGACACCCTCAGGTGTGCCTCAACCAGGAGGGGATGTGCCAGCCAAAGACTTCAGTAGTCTGCAGAGGAAGATGACCTGGCTGTAGCTCCCATCTTGCCAGGAAGTGGACTTCCTGAGCGCTGAGGTAGAGTAGCTCAAGTCCTTACTTAAAGTCCCAGTATCCACTTTTGTTCCCCAGTATCTTAGGAATCGGGGGAGGATCTGTAGGAGGATGGAATCTCCATTAAGGCTTCCATTTCAGAGTGGGGAGCAAGGATACCCCTTCCCAGAGACTTGCGGTTGGGAGATGGATCCCCAAAATTTGGGAGGGTCACAATTTTTGGGGGAATTCCCCTTATGGCTACAGTTAACTCTCAACAAGGGGACCCATGTCATCTATGGGCAATTATTGTGTCAGCTTTGGCCAGAGTTGCCCTGGGTGACGCTGAAGTGACCCGTCCTGCCGGAAATCACTTTTTTGCAGGGCCCCAGTGACCCCTCCTTTTGAGGTTCCTAATCTCCAACCTTCTTGGAGGAAATTCAGTGCTGCTGGGCAGATCCTAGGCACCTCTTAAACCATAGTAGAAATGCGGGGATCCTACCCTCTATGCGCTACCCTGGGGACTATGGTCTGGACCACATGCCATCAGTGGACCATTGCATTGCCTCCCTGGTTGTTTTTCCCAGATGAGTCGCTGAAGGTAAGAGCTCCCTGTCCAAGCACCCAGTGTAGCGTGGTGGAAGACTTTTTGTGTCAAGCATAGGACATCACAGCTCCCATTGCACAGAACGGGAAGTCACTCTCCATTCTCCTGCTGGCTCAGTCCCAAATGCTGCAGCTGGGCATTGGAAGATTAGTATTTCAAGACAATAACAATGCTGCCCTGCAGGCCTTTGGGCTCATTTTCAGGGAGCTGGGCTGCCTTTTGTCAACTCTGGTGATCACCAGACATTAGGTCTGGGTGGTACAAGCTCCGATCTTCTATAACTGTAGACAGAGTTTGCAGAGGCTGCCGGTGATCCCAGGCCAGTTGTTTGGACTGGAAGCAGAGAGGGATCTGGAGTTCTATAGGCAATCCAGCCAGGCCCCTGAAGCTTGAGGTGGTGGTAGGGAGGCCATGGGATGCCCTGCTCCACAACAAAGAAGACATGACATTCAGGAACTGTGGCATCAGTTTTAGGCCACTGCTTCTCCACAGTTTTGGCAGCAGAGTTGGGCCTGCGGCTGGAGCTTGGCACCAGGCCAGGATTCCCTCACGGGACTCTGCCGGAGAAGAGACTGCGCCTGTGCCCCCCCAGGGGCCTGGGTCAGGAGGCAGAATGCAGCACAAAAGCTGCAGGCCGATGGCAAGAGGATTTTTCAGAACAGCACCTGAACTTCAGGGAGCGATGCATGGTATGAAAAACTGTGGTCCCAGGGTACAGGTTGCATTTCTGCCATCGGGCCTCCACCCCCAGAAGGGGTAAGGGTGACTTTGGTCACAGATCAAGCATAGGTTGTAGTATGCAGAATGAAGGTTTCTACTTCACCTCTTTTGTTATTCCAAAAGGATGGTTTCTTTCAGCCAGTGGTGGACCTTAGGGCGCTGAACCGCTTTCCGAAGGCTTGCGTTTTTGCATGCTTTGTACATGCAAAGTCCTTCAGGTGATATGTCCAGGAGAGCAGTTTACATCCATACACCTGAAGGATGCATACTTTCATGTTCCAATCCACCCAGAACACAGAAAGTATCTACGGTTTGCCTTCAACTGTGTGGTGTACGAGTTGTTGGTTCTACTGATGGCTCATCTTTACCCCTCCTCTGAAGTGGCAGATCGAACAACTTTAATCCTCATGACCCACATTGAGGCTCTGGGGTCAGCAGTGAACAGACAGGAAGCTCCCTGATCCTGGCCTAGCAGGCAGTTTTTATCGATATGGACTTGTATTCGGTTGCCATGCTGACCCAACTGACTACGGAGAGGATGTAGAGAATCCTCTCCTTACTCCAGTCCTTATGGTGGGAGCAGAACTGCATTCCACTGCAGGGGGTGCTGGTGGCAGCCTCTGCTTTGACTCTACTCGGGATGCTACTACAGAGATGGGTAAAGAGCCTCCATATGGACTCACTGTTGCAGCTGCAGAACAAGGTGCTGATATCTCTCGATTAAAACATGAGTTGATGACAATCTATGCATCGCAGGCCAATCCAGGAGCCATGGAGCCCCCATGAGTGACATTTACAGATAGATCTTCTGGAGTTGAGGGCAATCTATCTTGCACTGAAGTCGGCCCAAGTGGATCTTTTTGCATATCCCCTTGTGGTTCTCCATGGCAGAGGCCAACACCCCATTGCAGGTGGATATCCTTAGAAATGTATGAATTGCCGAGATGCTGTATGCATTTCCCCGGTTTCCACTGCTTCTACCTACTCCCACGGAATGATCTTATCGACCTTTAGGGTCCTCTCTGTGGCTCTCAAGTATCTGGTTTCCATTGCTGCTCAGTCTGCTGGACTGAGAAAGAACAGATCTCCTGTACCATTGGGGGGGCACATTTGCCATCCTTCTCCATACCATCTTCTCCTCACAATGTGGCTGCTGAATGGTGCTGGCGGCCCTTGAGAGATCTGGAGCCCTTGATACAATAAAAGCTACAAAGCACCAGAGCTCCCTTTACAAGGAAATCGTATGCCTATTGCTGGCCACATTTTCGACGTGGTGCAAGGGAAAAGATGTAGACCCAATCTTATGATCCCTGCATGAGGTAATAAGGTACTTGCAGGGCCTATTGGAGGCTGGTCAGGCAGCATCAACCCTTGAGGTTCACCTGTTAGCAATTTCAGCCAGGCAGATCAGCACTGAAGGTGGACAAGTCAGGGCACGCAAGCTAGTGTCACAGTTCCTCTGTGGTGCAAGGAGCTTGAGTTTTCAAAGTTCCTATCTGATTTGGAGTTGAATACTGACAGGGTTATCATAGTAGAGGATTTTAATCCGATACTGAGCCTGCCTGATCACTTTCTGACTTTGCTTGCCTTGATGTCCTTTCTGCTCTGCCTCTGGACCGAAGGATCTCTGAATCAGTCTGCCCGGACTGCCTGCTCCCCTCTCTCTGAGACTCAAACTTGGAGAACCTCGCATAAACTGTCTGCCTTCCTCTTCTGGATCAAAAACTGGTAAAGCCTCACACAATCTGCCCGCCTGTCTGAAATGTGGCCTCTTTGCTCTGCTTAGGTTCAGTCCCGTAACGTGTTTTATTGAAACAAGCTGTTCAATAAACTGTTCAAAGTCACTGACCTGTCTGGGTTTGATTTGGATCCAGCCTCTGTTTCTTTACATTTACAGACTGATGATTTTGTTGACTGGGTTGTTAGTTGTCTGCATACTGCCTTAGACAACATAACCACTTTGAAAAAGAAAAACGTTAAAAATAGAAAGCTGGCTCACTGATTTAATGCATAGTTGCACATTTTGACGTTAAATGCTAGGAAACTGGAGAGAAAATGGCACTTTACATGCCTAGGGGAATCCTACCCACTCAGAAAAAACAGCTTATGCTGTATAAAATGACCATTGGTGAAGCAAAAGCAGCATATTTATCCTCATAAATAGAGGAGAAAAAAATTTATCCAAGATACTTTTTTTTAATACACTGGGAAAAACTCACCCAGAGCGATAGCTCTCTTGAACCGTCCATCCCCCTGCTCTTAGTGGTAGTGATTTCACAGGATTCTTTATAAAGCACAGGCTGGACTTCCCACTGATGCCTCGGTTGCAATGTTTCTACTCGACAGGTAAAGTTTGGCATGCTTTTCCTCTCCACTGTTGCTACAAGCATGCTTGGTGTAAGGTATTACTTTTGAGTCAATGAGTCGAATTAGCTGGTTTTCCAATCTGACTGCGTGATCTGGTTGAATTGTTTCTGTAAAGTGGCTTGAGATGACATGTGATGTGCATTGGTGACATAAGTAAACTGAATTGAATTTAATCAATTAAAAGGTTTGATATCAAGTAGATTTCCTGTTTTGATAAAATTATGAGGATTTTCATTGGGACCCAGATAGATATGAGGGAAAAGATGAATGGACTAATTTAAATTCAACTTGGTTTTAATTTAGTCAAATTCGTTTCAAACCAATGCAAGATACATAAAATTACATAAAAACAGATTCGGTTTGAGCAATTAAAAACTTTTGATTGGAACAAGTTTCTATCCATACCTGATTTATATAAATGCACCTTAAACACTATTCAGATGATTCTAAGAGTGTCTAACTGAAGAAAGACAGTTGGGGTTTTTCTGAGTTTTCCGACCCACTTGCTGTTTAAACAGAAATCAAATGCCCTTTCTTCTAAATTAAATTGGGTGCATCTCATTAATTTCTGACTGAATGTACATGTTATGAGTTTCAAGCTGATTGATCTTCTGACCTTCAATAGAAATCCAGCTGGATGGAGACTCTCCATGATCACTGATGTTACACCTGTAGAGGCCTTCATCAGAGCTGGTCACATGGTGGAGGGTCATGTGACCTTTGGGCTCAGTCCTGATGAGGGAGCCATCTTTATAGAAAGCAGCTGGGAGGTTGGAGGGAGTGGTCTTTGTTTGACAGCTCAGAGTGACGTTATTTCCCTCCATCACAGGGAGGACAGGACTCTGTAGGATCACTGATCCACCTCAACAGAGAGACAAACTACAGCATTTCATCCATTTCCACACAGCTTCATCAACACTAACTCCACAGTCTGATCTTACCAGTGACAGTGAGCTGGATGCTGCTGCTGGCTGCTCCCTCTCTGGACGACCAGCACCAGTAAACTCCAGTGTCTCTTTCTAAAACATAACTGATGTTACAGGTAGAACCAGCTGATTTCCCCCATTCCTTTCCACACTGAGTCCTGGTTCCTCTGGTTGTGTTCCTCATCACAGTCCATCCAGCAGAGCTGTTGTTCTCCTCACAGCTCAGAGACACAGAGTCTAACTCAAAGAACTGAGATCTGCTGGGACTCACAGTCAGAGCAGCTGAGAAAAAAAACAAGGGGACATAAATTACCTTTTTTTTTAATATATAATAGTAAATATGTAACTGTAATAAGTCAATGACAGTTTGGTTAGATTCAGGACTATGTAAGAACCAGACTTCCTGTATTGCCCTCATTGTAAAGGTGCATTTAACAGTTATTAGAGCTAAATATATTTTTGAATTCCCATATAGTTGGTCTTCCTAAAATGACCATAGATGCATTAGAAGGCTCTATTCATTAGAAAGGGATTCAAGGTGAATTATCTAGAGGCGAACATGTGTGATGCACTGAAAGTAAATTTTCACCTGGCTACTTTGTTGAGTCTCTGCTGCACCAGAGGGAACAAGGGAACAGTTGGTCAACCATTTGTCTTCATAAATATTCTTAAAACTATATATGACCAAAAGGGTCCAATGGGTCATGATCATTTTGAGACATATTGTAGTCTATTTGCTAATAATTATCTATATCTTTGTTTTTTATTTTTATAGAGCTGCTATCATTATCCCTAAAACAAATATTTAATTTAAGTATCTGTGACTAAATCATTTACTTTTTCCTCAGAGAGATACAGCAAAACCTAAAAATAATAATTGACAGAGGCAACGTTAACCAAAGATAATATAGAGCGTAAAATTCTGCAGCAGCAGGAAACATGCACTCTGTTCATATGAGCAGCAGGAAACCAGGCCGTCGTTCGAAAGTCTTCTAAGAGCTGATTAAACTTCAAGGAGCTGCTCATTATTTTTCACCATGTTCTTACATAATCTCATTTAGTTTCCATAGAGAGTTTTAAACTGTGCTTATATTTACTGACCTTGGTGTGTTGTGCAGCAAAGCGGTGATGTCAGGCCTGAGCAGAGAAGACAGTCAGGTTACAGCTTAGTGAAGCATCAGAAACATAAAGCGAGTGTTGTTATGTCCTCAGATCAGTTCGCAGGCTTTCACCAACGACTTCCTTTTCACTCAAAATTAGATTTGCTCATTTTAGCTGTTCATTTATAACAAATGCATAATCCTGATCATAAAACATATTCTACTCACTCAGCAGAAACAGGAAAGATGTTTTCATTGCCATCTTGATGATACGCAGTAAAACTGGTGATGTGCTGGTTTCTTCTAAAATGAGCTTTCAACTTTTCTCTGTATATAAGTTGCGGTTTCCTCTATGCTGAGGTTGCTTTAACTAAACCTCGTCTGTCGACCTTCACACTAAGGGCATGAAGCTCACAGGGAAATTAAAACTCTTTAGGAAAATAAAACAGGCTGTAATTTGGCCACAATAACACACAATATATTTAGAATATGATAAAAGATATTGGTGTGGTATTTTTTGGTTACTGGTTGAAGAGCTGTCCAGGATTTACCTCCCTCCCACATAAACGTTTATTAAGATAAAGTAGGATCAATCATGTAGGCTACTTTACTATAATTAAAGAAAAAAATAGCAGTGCTTTATTTAGAATTACTTCAGACTCTTCAAACTTTCCCCGCTGGATAACATTTTAGGCAGTAGAACAGCAGCCCTGCTGAAAGGAAGTGGTGGTTTTAGTAGCTTATGTATTTTCTGCTTTCAGCAGATGTTGTGGTTGCAAAAAGGTAAAATGAGTTGGTTGCTGCAAGTTTCTGCTTCATACAGTTAGCTTCACACGTGAAAAACTTGTTTGATTCGTTTCCTTTCTGTGTGTCAGAAAAATAGCATTCCTGTTGGACTGGGGGGGGCATGGACATTAACACCTATGGCAAATGCTTACCCCCTCACGGGTTTGCACTCTGTAAGTGGGGGAAGGGGAGGGAGGGGGAGTAGGTATGATCTCGGCCTGGATGTCTTCTGTCGCTTGTGTGGTGAGTAGCTTGATTGTTATTGTAGGGAAGAAGATCTTGGAAGGGCTTCGGGTCTGGCTCCCTGTCTTGGTCCTGGTCCGTGCTGCCCCCTGGTGGGGCTTCGTCCGGGGTGGGGGCTCTGCGTGTTGCGCGTGGGCTGGCCGGCTGGGGTTGTCCCCCACCTTATTTATTTATTTATTATTATTATTATTATTATTATTAATTTTATTTTTATTTAATTTTTTTTATTATTATTGTTATTATTATTATTATTATTTATTTATTTTTATTTATTTTTTATTTTTTTTATTTTGTTATTTATTTTTTTTGGATGGACAGGACGGGGGGAGGGTGGTGGTGTCGGCTCCGTGCCCGGCTGGCTGGTGGGTCCTGCTGCCGGTCCCGTGCCCCCAGGCTACGGTGGTGAAACTGGTGGGGCCCCCCTCTCTGGAGGGGCTCTCGGGGAACGGGGGTGCCTATTGGAGTCAACGGGGGAGCTGGCTCCCTGGGAGTGCATCAAGCACCCCAGTCCTTTGCTCCCCATCCCCGAAATCCTCCCTCTGCCTGCTCCATCACTCTGCCACACATGTAGGTTTTTGGGGAGGGGGTCGTTACTGGAGGGCCACACCTTCTGATGACATCCCCCACCCCAATTTTATTTTGCATTTTAGACACTTCCATCTACATCATTTTCACAACACACATCTATGTAGGGTATTTTTCGGGGGGTGGGGGTCAGGGCCACCGGGGGGGGATTATTTTATGGGCCTCACCACGGTCGGCCTCCTCCATCCCCTCTCGCATCTAGACATTGAGGGTTCATGATGTCGAAGGGGGGGGTGTGCTGGCACCGTCTATCTCCTGGAGGGGGGGTGGACTGTGCCGGACACCCCCTCTTGGTACTCCCAGTTTTAATAGCATCTGAGAGCAACACGCAACAACACCACATTCGAGCGGGCGCAGGGAGGATCGGGGTCTTCTCACACCCCTGTTCTCCGGCTGCCGCCTGGAGTCTGGGGCCTGGAGGAAGAGCAAGCCACCTGGTCCGTGGTTTTGGCTGGGGCTGGCTGCGGGGCCTAGGTGGCCTGCCGGTGGCGGGGCTTTAACCTCTGCTCTCCCCAAAGAAGGTTGGATGGAGGGGTATGAAGTGCCTGGTTGAAGCGTTTTTTTTTTTTTACCGGGGGGCGGTTCTGGTGTGGTGGCCAGCGCGGGATGGGTGGGCCCCGGTCCGGGGGGGGCTCATGCTGGGGGGTGGTGGGGCCGGGCTTGAAGCAGGAATGAGATGGGTTGGTGTGGCGGTGTCGCCGCTCCCCTCCCCCCACATCCGGATTTTAGGTTCACTTATTGGGTCATCCGATAGTCCCGGGACCGACCACCGGTGTCACCAGGTTTTTGGTCCTGGTATTATTGGATGTGAGTGTTATGTGTGAATGTGTGTCCGCTTTGTTATTTTCTTTATTTATTATTATTATTATTATATATATATATTTTTTTCGGTCTGTGCCGTGGGGGGGCCAGTGTTCGGTGCCTGGCCCTACTTCAGGGTGGCCGGCTGCCAGCGGGGCCCGCGGACTCGTCCCCGCGGCTCCCCGGGGCACCGGCATGGCGGTGGCTGGGGGGCTTCTTCGTGGCTGTCTCTCCTCCTCCCTTGGTGGGGGTCTGATTTCCGGGGCTGGCCCCTCCTTGGTGCCTTCGCTTCTGGGGTCCCTTTGGGCGCCTGGGGTTTCTCTGACCGTGACTGAGTGGATGTGCTCTCTTTGTCCTCTGGCATGGGAGCTGGCTCGGAGCTCGTCTGCCTGGCTGTGTGTTTCCTGGACGGGGCCGCCTTTTACAGCTGCTTTTTGTATCTCTGCTTCTGTCTCCTTGAACCCCAGTCGGCCTCGGCAGATGGCCGCTCACACTGAGCCTGGTTCTGCTGGAGGTTTCTTCCTGTTAAAAGGGAGTTTTTCCTCTCCACTGTCGCTACAAGCATGCTTAGTGTGAGGGATTGTATTTGAGTCAATGAGTCGATGCAATCAACTGGTTTTCCTTAGATAGAAAACTTTGTATCAATTTGACTGTATGATCTGGTTGAACTGTAAAGTGCCTTGAGATGACATGTGTTGTGAATTTGGCGCTATATAAATAAACTGAATTGAATTGAATTGAAACTGAATTTACAACACGAGTAACCTGATAAAAACATCTGAAGACACAACACGACGCTGAATACAAATAGTTCTCTCATGGAGGAGGCCTGTACTTAGTTCTCTTTAACCGATTTCATGTATTTTATTTAGGGCGAAAACAATTAATTGGAATATTCAGTTATTGAAATAATGTCAAGAAATTTAGTAATCAATTAATCGTTACTGACTTTACAACCATTGTGCATCTTGTTTAAAAATAATCATACAGACGAAAAAAAAAAAACTCTTGTTGTCTCTTCATGGTTCTCAAATGTGTGTCCCCTTTGTCAAAATGCTGCGTGTGCTACATTAACAAGTTACTCATACTACTGTGAGGAGGTTAGTTTGAAGTCTTATATTCAACATCGAGGCGTGCTGCATGGTGGCACAGTTTGTAGCACTGTTGCCTTGCAGCTAGAAGGTTCCAGGTTCAATTCCTGGCTCAGTGTCTTTTACCAATAAACATCGATAGACCCTGCGTTATCGGGTGAGATGTGTGAAGACAAAGCGGGCCTCTTAGGTCAGATAAGAGGTCTTTACTCATCAGTAAACACATGAAATGAAAAAAGAAACAATTTAAAGACATATTGTTCAAGTATATTCTGTCCCTAACTGTGCCAGTCTGGTCAGTCATACCTCTGTGGGAGTTGTCTTGTGGAGTAAATTGGCTGAAAAGGGGGTTGCAGAGAAGAGAACAGAGTTCTCACAGCTGTTTATTGGCAAAACTGCCTCCTCTTCTCCAGCGATCATGTTAAGATGAAACATGGAAATTGGTTCTCAATGTCCAAAATTATTATCATGGTTTACGTCACAAGAATTGTTTTTTTTGCCGTCTGCCTTATCTACTAGACTCCAAATAGATGTTAAAGTGACTCTTAATTTAACACATTCTATTTATTTGTCACAAGTTAAAGGTTGCATTGGTGTGAGTGAACTGTCATATAAATCAAAGCATCCCCTCAATAAACAAAGTGAGACGTAAACACCTGCGAAGTAAAAAATGAGCACTGAGAGTTGATATCCAAGGAAGAAAAGGTTTTATTTTACTCTGCAGAGGAGAATGGCACAACCAGCTGCATACAGCTCTGAATGCGATTCTTAGGCTGGAGCATCCAATGCCTGAATATAAGATGATTCCACACACACACATACATTAACATTTCCCAGGAGAAACACTTTAGTTTATCACAGGACAGATATTTGTTTCAGATAACAGGTTTCCATACACCCCAAGTCATGAGAATCTTGAACACAATGAGGACATGTTATCTATATTATCCCCTAGGGGGAAACTACCTTTTATCTTAGAACAAAGCTTCTAAGTAACCACTCCTATTGAGGAAAAGAGAAAAGGCACACTTTCTCACAAGGAAAACATAAGACTCTACACACCAGTAGGAGACTGAAGACTGAAGACTCAGAAACCATCCTTGTTGCTTGAAAGGTAGAGATAAGATCCTGTATCTGGGTGATGCTGCTGGTTTCATTAGAGAAGCTCACTGAAATTTGGAAACTTAAAAAAAAAGAAGTTTTATTTTAAATCTTGCATCAATGTCAAGCCAATAAGCAGCATCAGAAACACAGCATCTTAATTTTACTTTTCCTAATATGACAGATTTAAATTATAGACTGTATATTCATTAGATATCAAATATATTTTAAACATGAATTGTTTAGATTCAAACCTGAAATGATACAACATTCCATAGAATTAGTTAAATTACTGTATAAACTTTTCATCTAATCATGCATTGATGTTTCAGATCCACCAGGTATCAGTATAGAGCAACAGTTTAGGGAGTAAGGCAATACAACTGAGATAGAAATAAATATACTACTACTTTGTAAAGGCCCTTCAGGTTACAGGCATAGCAAATTATCAGTCACCTAAAGCTATAGTACAGTAAATGATGTTTTAAACGTATATATCGCTCCCTATAGAATAGATTAATACAAATACAATGTAGATAAATATTTAAATCTCTACAAAATGCTGGATAAAGAGGAAAAGTGAAAGATAAAATATCTGATCGAGTTGCACCAGGAGCTCATACTCTAACCAATTTATCTAAATATGTGTAGATCT